CCTCCTTTACCGCTGGACCCTTCTGAGCCGCTAGACCCTCCTTTACCGCTGGACCCTTCTGAGCCGCTAGATCCTCCTTTACCGCTAGACTCTCCTTTACCGCTAGACCCTCCTTTACCGCTGGACCCTCCTTTACCGCTAGACCCTTCTGAGCCGCTAGACCCTCCTTTACCGCTTGACTCTTCTGAGCCGCTAGACTCTCCTTTACCGCTGGACTCTTCTGAGCCGCTAGACTCTCCTTTACCGCTGGGCCCTTCTGAGCCGCTAGATCCTCCTTTACCGCTGGACCCTTCTGAGCCGCTAGACTCTCCTTTACCGCTGGACCCTTCTGAACCGCTAGACCCTCCTTTACCGCTGGACTCTCCTTTACCACTGGACCCTTCTGAGCCGGCAGATCCTCCTTTACCGCTGGACCCTTCTGAGCCGCTAGACTCTCCTTTACCGCTGGGCCCTTCTGAGCCGCTAGACTCTCCTTTACCGCTGGACCCTTCTGAACCGCTAGACCCTCCTTTACCGCTGGACTCTCCTTTACCGCTGGACCCTTCTGAGCCGCTAGACTCTCCTTTACCGCTGGGCCCTTCTGAGCCGCTAGACTCTCCTTTACCGCTGGACCCTTCTGAACCGCTAGACCCTCCTTTACCGCTGGACTCTTCTGAGCCGCTAGACTCTCCTTTACCACCGGACTCTTCTGACCCGCTAATCCCTCCTTTTATTGTTAGATATATTTGGTCTGATCCTTTTGATTGGTCTGTCAGTCCCACTTGGTCCTCGTGGCTACTCCCTATGTCTGAAACAATAGAATTCTCTCTTATTTTGTTGTTCTCTCATCGCGTACAGTACATATGAAACGTTTTCACAAACCACGTAAAGCGATGTGGACGGGTTTCTGCTAACGTCAGTTCATACAGTCCGTATGAATTTGCTACTCCTGAATTTCCGGTTGTTACTTCGTCCGATATTGAAGATTGCGAATTTCTGGGTTGCAGTGACGTGTATTTCGGGGTTCAGCTTGCTGCCTGGGTCTACTGGTATAACACTTTGTTTGTTGCTAGACCCTGGCTCTATCCCAGCTGCTCGGAAATGCGACTGCAACTCATTTCATTGCTCTTCTTCAAAGTCTCTCTATAGTGAAATATTGTCAGCGTACTGTACCAGGTGATCTTACGGAAAATCTGGAAAACTTATTTCAACGCATTTTTATCCACGTATTAATGTATTAATTGTAAACATAATTACCAACTTCGTTGCAATTGCAAAACAGTGAGACCAATGATCGAACTCTCGAGAGGAGGATGTACAGCAAGAGACGAGTTGACTGTCCCACTTATGGAGCTGAGCCCTTCTGGAGGAACCGCCAATTGAGTAGCTACTGAAGAACCTCCCGGCATTTTATGGAACCCGAAGGTTTATTACCGTGTTCTCAAGAGCCCTCCACTGGTCCCTATCCTAAGCCCGATCAATCAAATCTATACCATCCCATCCTATCTCTCTAAGATCCACCAACTTACGTCTTGGTCTTCCCAGTGGTCCATTCCATCTAACTTTCCTACCAATATCCTATATGTATTCCTCGTTTCCTCATTTATGCCACGTGTCCTGCCCATCTCTTCCTTCTGGTCCAGTGATTGAGACTAGCTCTTTCTAACCGGCCCAACTGAGTAGGTTTATCCTTTCCTACCCACCTGAAGACGGAGACAGACCCAGTCTCCGAAACGTCGTGGTCTTTTGTCTTTTACATATCAGACGATGGATAAAGTCCAAAATAAGCCAAAAGAAGTGCATTGCTCATTCTAATTTAAAAGGTTAGACACGTAGGTCATTGTCGTCATTTGAATTTGAGAGTTATCTTATGAATAATTTTTATTTAAAGACTGCTTTGCTTACCGTCATAATGTTTTAGTTTGTTATCACTTACTACATACTACATTGGACACGTTTAGGTTGGGCAGCCTGCATGCGTTGTAATTGACTGCATATGATATCTCTTTCAACACAATATTTAACTTAGGAACACAACAGTGTATTTATACGTAACTGAAGGACACGTAAACCGCTCTGACGAGATAAACCGGCAAGCATCAAGTTCTCTTGTCAGCAGTCGACAGGTTCCCGCGGAAAAATTTCTAGCCGTCCGGTCTAAAGAAAACTTAGATTCCCTGTCTTATGTGGTTCAGTGCCGTGCGTTCCGAGTGAAATGTTCGTGAAATTAAAACTGCGTTCATTTTCTGTTGTTAAGGAATCAAGAAGAGTGAATAAACTGTAATATCGAGAGAGTAGACCCGAATTGTGTGTAGCAGACTTTCGGAGCAAATTCTGATATCCCGAACACCGAAGAGCTTGGTGTAACGTTAACTATGTAGTCTTGTATGCGGGAAGTGACCGGCTAGGACCCCGGCTCTACTGTATGAGGATTTGCGAGGTTTTCCTCATTCCCTGCAGGGAAAGGGCGGGAAAGCAGCTCCATTAGACCACAGTCGCTTCCTTCCCAATGACTTCCAGCCCATACTGGACTCTAGACGGACTCCTTATTAAAACATCGTCGTGAAATAAGTAACTTCCAACTAACTTCATGGAGCTGAGCTCTACTTGAGAAGCAAACTTCCGAACATTTTATGGAAACCGAAGATTTATTACCGTGTTCACAAGAATTTTCCACTGGTCCCTATCCTGAGCCAGATCAATCCAGTCCATACCATCTTTCAATAGACCAAAAGATTATTCACCGATCGAGAGGAAAGAGAGGTGTTGACAGACATAGGAACAGATGGACCCGAAATTTGTAAAAGGCTTTTCTGCTTAATTGCTGAATATAAGTATGTATTTTCGGTTTACGTTATTTTGCTTGTTCTCTGGACTTTTCCTGACGAAGCAGTTTACCATTTGCTGTAATACAGGAACGTTCAAAGGAATCATAACATCAGTGTTTCCAGGGTTGGTACGAGGAAGGAAAGAAGAAACTGGGAAAGACTCTGTCCCTCTTTGCCCAATACAGACACAAGTATATTCGGAGTTAACCGTGAAAGTGTCAAGAAGTTGCTAAGTTTGTCAGTCCTCAGACTTGTCCTGTTAAACAGGGCGACTTACCAACAAGGAGTAGCAGTCCAACTGCGGCCGCTTGTACCAGGAACCAGAAAGTCTTCATCTTCTGGTCAGGTGATGGCGCTGAATGGTACTGGACGTTGCTTCAAGCGGGTATTTATACTGTACATGGTTAAGGGCAATTAAACAAGTGATAATGCTGATTCTTCCTACACTCCTATGACCTGCGCTGTTTATTTCCATGGTTACGTAAATTTTTCGATAACTCAGCTAAAAATACGGAATTCATGGTCACATTATCACATATGTAATTAGTTCTGTAACGGTCACGTGGTTAATAGGAGTCATTATTTTCGTTGCACAATTTAAGTTAGAACAAATTTGATAATACCATCAAGTGTACCCAGTTTTTAAATAAGAATAATTATGAACTGGAACATATTTCAGCCGCAAACGACAATCTTCTGGGGTATCCAGTGTTGACATAAAAGTTTACACAATTTTTCACGAAGTGAACTGAAGGAGCATGTAATCACAGTGCGTGTTTAAATTGTAAAGTAATATCACGAAGCAGCCCGTGATATGTAGAAGTAAGTGCTTTAGAATCGTTGGAGGACTTTTACGTTCTCATATTAGTAGCTCTGCTATTGACCTAATCCTTCCAGCCGCACTATGGTCCTGGGGTCGACTCAGCCTTTAACAGAAATGAGAACCGTGAATCTTCCTGGGTTGTAAAGGGCGGCCGTCGCGTAAAGCTGAAACTTTTACCGCCGTCTGTGAGCCGATTTTCTAGATAATGTGGGACCCTCAACATCTTACCACCCTATGGGTCTCCACGGCCTGTTACAGGGATAGCTTTACCACATAACTGCTAGTTGCCTGCTTCATGCTGGTTTCTTGCTTGGTTCATTCTTCGACACTAAAGATGGAAGCAATATTTTCGTCCGAAATATTTGTTGTTTTTTTTTAACGCACTACGCGGCTTTATATCCCAGGGAAGAGAACTCTTCAGTGCCTTGTCTGGGATTGTGCAGAGGATAGTGTCTTACTGCAGATCAGTGACCGCGGTGTCAAAGGCCCGCTGGAACATTGGTATCTTGGATTCGAATTCGACTCAAGGAGTGGATGTCTGTGTTTATTCTGTATTTATGTAAGGTAGCGGCCTTGTGATGGGCTGATCCCCCGTCCAAGGAGTGGTACCGACTGTCTAAGAATAAGAAGAAAACAAAAATTCCGTGATTTTAGTCTTAAAGCGAACTGTACCGACCGAGCAACCGCCGCTTGTCGGCGAAGTTTAGTGCCAACTTTTGCGGATAGTGGGTATCGCGTGGTCAGCGCAATGAATCCCCACGGCCGTTAATTTCTGTTTCCAGACCGGAGCCGCTGTTTCCTTGAAATAGCTCCTCAGTTATCA